GAATGAATGAATGATTGATGAATAGGGTTAGGGCGGATGGGATGAGTTGATATGAGTTTACCCATGGGATGAGTTGATATGAGTTTACCCGATAGATGGCTGTGTGGATTTGTACGACATATAAAATTTGGATAGTCTATTTTACAGAGGAAGCGCTGCCGAATTTTTGGCAAAACACTTAATAGAGAATTAAATTAGTTGTATCCTTAATAGGTAGTAACAACTAAAACTTTTAGTATTATTATTATGATTATTATTATTATTACCATTATTATTATTATTACTATTATTATTATTATTATAAAAATATTATTTACCAAATAAATAGAAGCTTTGTTACAAGTTATAAATCAGAATAAGTTATAAATCAGAATAATAAATAAATAAAGAACTTTACCAGTATAAATAAATAAATTAATAAAAATACTAATTATATATGAATGTAAGTTTCGTGATGAGGTAAGATAAATATATAATTAAGTTCGATGAGGTAAGATAAATAGCTATAGAGCCTCAAAATTTATAAATGAATGTAAAGTACATTTATGGAATTAGGATTCTTACACATAATTTTCTTTCTAGATGCTTATAAAAATTCCAGGATGGTAAAACAAAAGCTGGAAGGATGCAGCAGTAGAGATAGCCCATTAAAGGACAATAAAGAACTGTGAGTAATGTTAGATAATTCGCATCATCCGCCTGCATTTTTGCATTCATACATTCACGGCTAAATATTATCATGCACTACTTGGTGAATTGCTATATTGTATGCACTATTTGTTGCGATTAAAAATTGTTTGATTACCTGCGTTATGATATTGCTGTACCTTGTTTGTGTGGAATTAGGATGAAGTGGGTCACCATAGGTTTGTGAGGACGGTCTATAAAAATATGGATCCTGAATATGATGAAATTATGGAATTTGACTGTCGGCCAGGTATGGGAGATCGGCGCCTCCGTGTGCACCTGATGATATGATATGGGTGATCCTCGATAATATGATATAGAAAACCACAGGGTGGCCTCCTGTTCGTATGGAAAAGAAAAGAGCGAATGGAAAAATAATGAGAGGGCAGATCAAGTATGGATTAAACCTGTTGGCCATCTATTGGGGATCGGCTCCCTGGTGCACATGTAATGAGAGGATGGGCCATGTGGGAGGACGGCTCATCGGGGGTTCGGTGATGCCATTGACTAATTTCCACGTGATGTGAATATATGAAGATGATAATAATTGTGATTGCTGTTGTATTGCTATTTGTATGACAAACTGCATGATCATATAACTAGTCGAAGGACTAAATTGATTTATTATAGCATATGTGTGTTGCTTATTTGTATGACAAACTTGCTGGATGATCAGTAGGGTGGAAGCGTGAGTCGAGGGACCAAACTTACTAAATAGAGAAGTTATTAATGGTGGGTAATAGTCATATTATTGTTCTATGCTATTGATGTGGGTTCTAGGAGAGCACTCATATCTAACCAAACTAACTCGTTTTTTAAGGTTTAATTTCTAATCAATGTGCAACAGTGCTCATGCTTCGCTAATGCCGTTCCGTAGTTTTTTATACTCTTTTATATATTGATGAAAATGGTGGGGGTGAAGAATATTGGAAAGAATATCGAAAAAGGTCGGTATATTGTGATTGCTGTTGTATTGCTATTTGTATGACAAACTGCATGATCATATAACTAGTCGAAGGACTAAATTGATTTATTATAGCATATGTGTGATTGTGTGGGGTGAGAGGATTATCTAACCATACTCATTGAGTTTGGCGCTCACCCTTGCCTCCTGTTTTTTTTTTAGGTAATAGGAAGAAAGAAAAGTCCTATGGATCCAACTGAGTCGAAACGTTAAATATAGAAGACTGTTAATAGTTGTAATAACGATGTAAATGTAAATGACTATAAATTATAGAGTTCCGCAATTGTATTTCAAATGGATTGTAAATGAATAATAAGAGTACATATATTAATCATATGAACTGTACTTTGGATATGGTTGTGAAATAAGTTATTGGGCCTGAAGCTACAATTATGAATAGAATATGAGTTTAATTAAATTAGGTTTACTACGGGTTTCGGGGGCGTTAAGCCCACTCAGGTCTTAGTGCCGGTCCGATCCACGAAAATGGGTCGTGATAGGTTACCAATAAATTTTCGACTCTGATCTTTATTGAAAACACTTTAATATTAATAGAAGGCTAAATTTGAAAAAATGTAGGTAAAATTTATTGTTCAAACAATATTAATTACTTCTTTTTAATATAAAAATAGAAATGAGTTTATCTTCATGCGATGAATGGAGTATTATTCATGTGAGATTCATCTTCCAAATACTGCAAGCATTCAGCCTCTAAACTAACAATTAAGATGAGTTATGATATTCTTGCAGAAAGGAAGGATGAATTGGTGTACAAAATAATATTAATTGTCATGATGAGAGGATTCTTCAAATCTTCACAATTAACCTTTCAAGCAATCAATATGCACCTCATTTAAACATAAACTATTTATTAAAAATAATCAAACTCCATATTCACGTGATGCTAGCTCAAAATTAAACTCAAAACTATAATGATAGTCAATTTGCACCACTGGTGTAGACGTGTGAAAGCAAAATCATGAGTGGACTTTTTGGCGTGCGGGCTTGCGGAATCTAATCTAGCAGTCTTCCTTTGCGAAATATTGCAAAGCAGTCTTCCTTTTCTTCATGGACAGAAAGTGATATCATAATTAGCTCCGCCAATGCAAGAAAATGTGCTTGTCAAATCATCATAAGCATAGCTATAAGCTTGAGGGCACCCATTCTCGAAAAACATTGAATAATTCGTGAGTTTGCAAGTAGCTGGCGTACTAAAGTTTTCTGTGCAACAATATTCTGGGCGATTAAATGCTACACATGCACTTTTGCAACCAATCACAGAATTTCCATTTGGCCCTTTAATAGCTAACTCATTAGGGCAATCAGAGTTCATATTTCTTGCGGGCAATCAGAGTTCATATTTCTTGCACAGCTACTAGTAATGCAAGTATTACCGGAACCGCCACTTGGAGAGACTGACATTGGCACATTAAAACCGTCGACAAGACTAACATCGTAGAAATCTTGACCACGGTTTTCTGCTAAAGTGAATTCTATAAGAGAAACTGGTGGATTTCCTCCAGCACCATTGCATGAAACATCTAGAGATTGAGTTGCTTTTGTTGGTAACTGAAAGCCAGTTGTTGACTGTTGAGGCCTATTACCAGCGGTAAGGGTTGCTGGCCAAACTATGTATGGACAATTGTTGGTGAAATGTATTGTTGCGGGGTGAGCTCCTACATTTGTACATCATTGCATGATTAGACATTATTAAAATAAACCAAAATGTATGTTCAATATATAATTATATATATAACCCTGTAATGTTTTCTTTTTTTTTCCTTTCAATTTCATAATTAAGTGAAAACTAAAAATTTACTTATGCCTTATAAAATTATGATAGATGTTAACATAATCATACAAGTATATATAATGTTATTCTTTTGTTATTCTAATGAAGAAGAAGAAGAAAAAGGCATTTAAAAGAAATAATTCCTTAAAACCGTTAATCAGCAGTAAAGAATGCTCTTGATAGTATAGGAAAAACAAAGTTCTTTCTATGCATAAAATGAATTTTTTATATATGGACACACTAGATGAATAAATTATTAAATAGAAATTACCATAGAAGAGGAAGGTGAAGGAAAGGCCCAAGAGGAAGACTAGATTTTTCATGGTTGAACTTTTTTGATTGATTTTGGAATATTTAGTAAGAAGGAGATGTATTGGTATATATAGCCTCCTAGAATTTCCTTATCATTATTGGATAAATTTATGATAGATGTTAACATAATCATATAAATTTATGATAGATCGTTAACAAGTAATATTTTAAATATATATATTATATATATAATATATATATATTATATATACTAGGATTTAGCCTCCAAAACTAAATTCAAGAACTGGAAGTATATATAGATTAGCCTCCAAAACTAAATTCAAGAACTGGAAGATAAAAATCGCTTCTAGAGGGAGATATGTATATATTGGAAATTCTTGATGGGTTAAGAGTGGAAATTTCTAATGGAAATTTTTAATGGCTTAAGAGTTTAACATGATTATGAAATCTTTAATCTTTAAAATTTGATATATTAAAAAAAAAATTTTATGCTTTTCCGCTCTAATTGAGAGTGATATTTAGTTAAAGTTCTTTCAACAGTGATCATTTTAAATATTTTTAATGATTCGAGCATTAATTAATTAATTAATTGAGGATTAGATTTACTTAGAATTCCTTAATTTAGTAGGTTCAGTTTACTCTTAAACCCACATAAGTCAACAGCAGCACAAACCCATTTACAATTTTGTAATGGGAATTAAAATCTTGTCTCCAAAAGAAGAGATGGGCATGATATATATATGGAAATTGCTGGCTATTTTTGAATGCTTATGGTTTCATTATTGCAAGCACAACCAAAGTTGTAAGACAAAAATTAGGCACAGCGGATTGGTGAATGCCAGCCGTTAATTTCGGTTTTCATCAATAAAATATCCAACTTTAATTGGACTTACATAAACAATGTAGACAGCACATTTGGGTCTCTAGAAATTTTTTTTCTTTTTTCCTCAACAAGTTTAACTGCACATTACAAACCCATGAGTGGTTTGGTTCAAGTCGTAAATTTAATGGATAATTTATTTAAAGTCAAAAATCTAAACCTAGTGAAGACATTTATATATAGGAGGAGGCAGCCATGGATGCACAAACGAAATTAATTTTATAATAAAAATAAAATTTCCAATTCATTAATTACTGTTATTTAAACCATAACAACAGTAAAATTAAATAGAAAAATTTCCAAGATAGGGGGAAAACATACCAATTACAATCAATAATTTATATTTCCAAGATAGGGGGAAAACATACCAATTACAATCAATAATTTATATATAGATAATATAATTCATCAAGAAAAAGAAAAGATATTAATATTGCATTAGAAATAAAAATATTTCATTCTCTCTATTACATGAAGATTTTACTTGCTTTTATTGAATTATTTAATTAATCCAAACACTATTTGTGGATTTATTGCAAAGTCATTCTTCATGGACAGAAAGTGATATCATAATTAGCTCCACCAACGCAAGAAAATGTGCTTGTCGGATCATCATAAGCATAGCTATAAGCTTGAGGGCACCGATCCTTGAAAAACATTGAATAATTGGTGGGTTTGCAAGTAGCTGGCGTATTAAAGTTTTCTGTGCAACAATATTCTGGGCGATTAAATGCTACACATGCACTTTTGCAACCAATCACAGAATTTCCATCCGGCGCTTTAATAGCTAACTCATTAGGGCAATCGGAGTTCACATTTCTTGCACAGCTAGCTGGAATGCATGTATCACCGGAGCCACCACGTGGAGAGACTGACATGTACCGGAGCCACCACGTGGAGAGACTGACATTGGCACGTTAAAACCGTCAACAAGACTAACATCGTAGAAATCTTTACCGCCGTTTTCTGCTAAAGTGAATTCTATAAGAGAAACCGGTGGATTTCCTCCAGCACCGTTGCATGAAATTTGTCCGGAGCTACATTCGCCAGTTGCACATGTGAACTTTCCAGTTGAATCGGTAGAACATTCAGTTCGGCCCCAAAACCTTCCGGTGAATGGGGCTGGAACATCTAGAGATTGGGTTGCTTTTGTTGCTAACTCAAAGCCAGTTGTTGACTGCTGAGGCCTATTACCACCGGTAAGGGTTGCTGGCCAAACTGTGTATGGACAATTGTTGGTGAAAGTTATTGTTGCCGGGTGAACTCCTACAATTGTACATCATTGCCTCCTACAATTGTACATCATTGCATGATTAGATATTAATAATTTAAACCAAAGATTATATATGTATGTACATACATAAATACATGTAACTAAAATGTATGTTTAATTATTTTCCATTTCATAATTTTTCTATATATACTAGCCAAAAAAAATTGAAAATTAATAATTTACTTATGCATTATAAATTTATAGCAGATGTTAACTATATATATTGTTATTCTTATGAAGAAGAAGCAAAAGACACTTAAAATAAGAAATGCCTTGTAACAATGGTGGTTGATGATGGGAGCGGGTATAAAGCGGAAACAACCCTCATCGAAACCATATGAGGCAAACTAAAAACATTATCGAACAAATCAATAAACTGACACAAATCCAATAAACCTTGACCTCTTTGAAGCGCAGAATCGCTCAACCGGTCTTCCTTTTACAGAGATCTTGGAGTCACCCACAGATCTTCCTGCAGTAATCCCTAACTATCTCCCTTTTGGAACTCTCTCCTTGAGTGGCAGAGAGATAGAAAATAACGTGCGTTCAACGCTCACCTTAGGGTTTTTTCCAATCTTTATATTAGAAAAACCTCCTCTTCGATAGGAAGATATTTTTTAAGTATAAAATAATTTAAATAAAAAGATATTTAATTAAAAAATAATTTCAATTATTTTTACAAGTTAAATAATTTATCTATTATCTTAATACAGCCCTTGAACTTCGCAAATAATTAGGGCACTAACAGGGACGCAAGGAGATAAGAAATAAATCAGGCTACTAATTAATAATAAGAACTATGTAGACCAACATATTTCCCTTATTATATTTAATCAATCGAATTATTCCACTTAAAAACTCATGACTGAACCCTTAATTTATTTTACAATTCCACAACATAATAAAATTAGATGTTCCCAACCGTAAGATTTACAATGCTGTCATTTAAATGATGCTGTCATTTAAATAACTTACTGACAATTTATTTAAATCACAATATAACTTTAAGATTGTCGCTCAACTTATTTCATGTGTATTCAATATCCACCTATAGGATTTACACTATGAAACCTTATAAACTTACTTAAAGTGCATCATCAATCTCTAAACCGAGACATGGATTCTATCATTAATTAATATTTCACAAACACAATATATCTTTGCCCAATTCACCGAGAACATTATTCCAATAATGAAACTCACCCTTTAATGAATCAAAGCACAAGACAATCAATGTTTGCTCATATTAAAATAAATCAAGATTAAGAACGATAAACATTATTTCTAATGTCCTAGAGAATCCTAGAGAATATGTTTAACAGTCAGTACTAAACATCCATTCTCTACTTGGTCCAATTAAATACATACAAAATATACTAATCACAATTATTGTTCATATGCTAATAACATTTATTTAATACAAATTTCCAATTAAATACAAAGAAATAATTGTCAATAGAAAATCATTCATAGCTATACTATTACATATGCATGGTTAATAGTATATCTCTATCAATAAGAAGTGTATTTTCTCTTTTTTGAGGGATGGTGTGCGACGCCTGGTGAATGGTTGGAATAATAAGTTCTTGTCTAAGGCTTGGAAAGAAGTCTTGTTAAAGTCTGTTGACTAGGCTATCCCTTCTTTTTGCTTGAGTGTCTTATTACTGCCTGTGTCTCTCCTTAAGGAGATCCAACGCATTTTGAATGCTCACTGGTGGGGGTCTAAGTTACATTGGTTAAGTTGGCATCGAATTTGTATGTCGAAGGAGGATTGGGGGCTTGGGTTTTTGCCATCTTCGGAGTTTTAATCTGGCTTTATTGGGTAAGAATGTTTGGCGGCTCTTGACTTGTATGAATTCTCTCTTCTTGAGCGAGAATTTTCTTAGTGCGGATGAAGGCGGTAATCCAAGCTTTGCATGGAGAGGGATTTGTGAAGCTAAAGAAGCTGTCCAATTTGGCTTTCGTTGGAGAATTGGTTCTGGTTTGATGGTGAATGCATGGCGCGATCCTTGGTTGCTTGCTGGGGACTCTTTTTATATGTTGGTTCCTATGGTTCCAGGCTTTGAGCATGTATCTATGGCTGACTTGATTATTCCTCATTCTCGACGCTGGAACTTGGACTTGATTCATTGTTTATTTGGTCCAGATTTTGTGCAGTTTATCACTTCGATTCCTTTACCTTTGTAGGATAGGGAGGATGCCATGATATGGCACTGGACTAAGGATGATCGGTACTCTGTTTAATCGGGGTACAGGGTGGTTGTTTCTCATTTTGTTTTTCCCGATGGTCGATGGTTTTCTGGGTTTTGTAAGAGTTTGTGGCATTTGAAAATCCCACCTAAGGTTTGCCATTTTGGCTGGCGTTGTGGTAGGGGTATTTTACAGATGAAGTGTACTTTGGAGGGTAGGGGCGTTCATTTGAACGCAACCTGGGATTTTTGTGGTGAGCTAGAAACTGCTTTTCACGCCCTTATTAAGTGTTCTCATGCATAGATGGTGTGGCGATTTTGTGGTCTTCCTCTTTCAGCTATGAGGCATGATAATTTCCTCGCATTCTTTACCACCCTTATTGCAAGGCAGAATCAAGTGGATTTTAAAGTTGTTATGATGGTCCTCCGGAGTATTTGGAATGCGCGGAATAATTTAGGTGGAACAGAGTACAGACTTCTCCATATCATGCGGTCACAAGTGCGATAGATTTGCTCCGCTCTTGGCAGGTGGGGCAGTTAAGAGGTGGGAGTGATGCTATTGTCAACATGGTTACTGTGGTCATTAATTGGAGCCCTCCGCTTCCTAGCATGGTGAAACTTAATGTTGATGCATCCCTACACTTGTCTCCTGTTTCGAGTTTTTTTGGAATGGTGATGCGGGACTCTGGGGGTGGCTTTGTCTTAGCTCTTTCTTGTTTATTACATGGCAACCGTAGTCCGACAACGGCTGAGGCTTTAGCGCTACGTTGTGTCCTTGCATGGCTCCTGCACAACCGCATTACCATGTTGTAGTTGTTAAAATTGATAGTTTGCAAGTCTGCCAAGCGGTGAATGGTTAGTTTGGTTCCTTCGTTTTAGAGTGTAGACAATTTTTAATCCAAATGCCACGAGTTAGATTGGGTTGCATTAGAAGTCTGGCTGATGAAGCTGCTCATATTCTTGCTGGTTCAGTTTCTTTACAGGCTAGCTTTCGGAATTTGGATAATATTCCCACTTGTATTGCTCATCTTGTTTCTCTTCCTATAAATTAATAAAGAGCAATCCTTTTCATGTCAAAAAAAAGAAGAAGTTAAAAGTAAATTTATAATTTGATATAGCTACATTAATCCAAGCATAAGCCAAAATCATAGTATCGTGATGTGCTTTTATATATATGGAACTTCAGCATGTCTGTCATCACCATGAGGCAATGAAATGTTAGAATCCCCAACATTGTGCTCCTGTATAGTTGGATCAACAGCTGCCACTTCAGTTTCTACATAACTCCCACTACTTTCAGGTGGTAGTGAAAAGTTAGGTTCTGAATATTCAGGCTGATGTTGATTTACTGGTCGACTAACATTTCTTCCACTACGACTAAGCAATGGAATGTCAGCTCCAACCATTGATGGTTTAGGTTTAAGTTAGGTTTGTTGCTAATGGGAAGGTTCTAGTTGGTATATTTTCTCCTCTCAATTCCATACCAAGGCTAATTGACTTTTGGGAATATGGGTATTTTAAATATAAGTCTTCCCTCAAAGATAATGTGCATTGGTGCTAACCAATGAACCGTTTTATCTTGAGAACTATAAATAAAACCAACCGTTTCGTGTCGCTCTAGGGATATCCAATAAAGAAGCAATAAGTCTGTTTTTGATTCCAAACTGTATCTGCTTTCCCTTTCCAGCACAATGGGCTGAATCAACACCCACATCCGAAACAATGTTTCTTAGACTTGCTTTCGCCCAGTCCCCAACAAAGTTCGTAGGAGTTTTTAGGGTACTGACTTAGATGGGAACCAAATTCAGAATATATCTGATGTTTTCCTATGGCATACCCCCAAAACGAAATGGGCAAAAAATCTGAATAACTCATCATTGATCTAAACATTTCCCCAATAAGCTTCTATTCTTCTTTCTGCTACAAACCATTCGTTGTGGCATACCAGGTGCAACAACTGTGAAAGTAATTCCTTGTTTCTGATAAATGAAGTAATTGAAATTCCCTAGAGAGGTTATTCCGCCACCAATGGGTCAGACCGTAACGACTTGATATATTTTTCCATGTCGTTTCTCTCCGTTTCTGCCTGTGAAGCTCTTGATTTCTCAAAGCAATTGCAGACGTTTAACGGCGCAACAGTAAATTGTATCCATATCTTGTGTGTTTTTATTTTTTTTAGTAATCACTCTGTGAAAAGTCAACAAAAACTCAAACCACCCCTAGCTTTGGAACACTCATTCGACCAACACAAATAGAATGAATTAATTCAAGTACATTCATTATTTCTATTACCTTTAAATAGGAAAGGCCCTTAGTCAAGTTTTAACTTCTAAAACAAGAATTCACAGGTTGGTATGCATCCACTTTCCATTGACTCAATGGTCGATCCTTGCCAACCAGAAAATCCTATTTCTAATTAATATGAAACGCAAGCCTAAATGCCCACAAATAGGTATGACTAAATCATAGACCCGTTTTTTCTCTTCCAGTTTCCAACAAATAAGTTTGGACTCTTCAAGTTTTTGGTTTTTGGGTTATAGATGTGGCGCAAGGGGGACTGAATTGTGCCATTTCTATATCATGCATAAAACCAAAAATTAAGCATATCAATAATTAACATTGAAATAAAATCAAAAAATGCAAAAATAATACAATATTGAAGTATCCAATTCAAAAAAAATACAATACATTTCACAACAGTTCCATGAAATAAGCAATACCTCGACATTCATGAATAGCAACCTCGATGGGAGAATTCAACCAATCACATGTTTTGCATATTATAATTAGATAAGACCGGCACATACTACTCGATGGGAGATAATATGCCTCTTAAATTAACATATTAATGTGTGAGAAAATATTACATCTGATTCATGTCACTAATTAATTTACAGAGTTAAATCAATACAGACAAATTAGACTAGTTCAGTAATTATATTAAAACATGACATCTTCCGATGGGGAAGAAATGCAAATAATTACAACTAGAAAATAAAAAAATTTTCGAAATCATTTTCAGGAAAGAAAATGCTTTGCAAAGATGGAGGATTTCCAAAGCTTGAAGTCCTCAAGCTGTGGGAGCTGGAGCTATTAGAGGAATGGAATATGGAAAAAGGAGCAATGCCTAGTCTGAAACACCTAGAGATTAGACACTGCATAAATTTGAAGATGCTTCCTGATGCACTGCGATGCATTGACACCCTCCGAGAAGTAGAACTAACAAAACTGCCAATGTTATCATCAAACTTGTTTGGACCATTTTGCATAAAACAGAAACTATTGGGCCAAAATTGCAAAAACTGAAAATAGTCTAGGCAATTTTAATAAAACCAGAAACAATCAGGGTCACTTTATAATTTAAATAACTCGAAGGGGCCAAAACAGAATAACTGATATTTTCTGGGTCAAAATTTAAAAAATTAAAGTCTAGGGGTTAAAATATAATGAACAGAAAGATTCAGGGTCAAAAAAATAAAAACTTAAAGATCAGAGGTCAAAAAAAAAATAAAAATAAAAAAAAAAATTTAAAAAATTAAGGGACCAGACGGAAGCAAGCAGCAGCTTCTTCTTCACGAAGAAGCCCTAGCCGCCGCTGCCCCTCAGCCCTTTTTTTTTTTTTTTTTTTTTTTTACTGCACTTTTGTGCTGCTGTCGTTCAAAAACTCTTGAAGCTCTTGTAACCATGTACCAATCAAACAATCAAAACACAACAGATTTATAGATACACGATTGACAACATGACAAAAAATAAGGCCACCATCAGTATAGTTGCGTATGGCTCTGATACCAATTGGATGGGAGCGGGTATAAAGCGGAAACAACCCCTCATCGAACATACTGAGGCAGAACTAAAAACATTATCGAATAAATCATAAACTGACCCTCTGAAGCAACAGAAATCGCTCACGCGTCTTCTTTCCAGAGATCTTGGAGTCACCCACCGATCTTCTACAGTAATCCGAATCCCTAACTATCTCTCTGAGTGGCAGAGAATAGAATAACGTGCGTCTCTCTATTCTTAGGGTTTTCAAATCTTATATTAAAAAAAACTCTCTTCGATAGAAAGATATTTTTTTTTAATATAAAATAAATTAAATAAAAAATTATTTAATTAAAATAATTATCAATTATTTTAAAACTGAATAATTTATCTATTATTTAATACACCCTTAACTTTCCAAATAATTAGGGCACTACAGGGACCTCAGGAATAAAATAAATCAGGCTACTAATTATAATAATAACCTATGTAGACCAACATATTCTTATTATAATTAATCATGAATTATTCCACTAATGGAATTATTCCATAAAAACCATGACTGAACTCCCATTTATTTTTACAATTTCAACAACATAATAAAAATAATGTTCGCCCACGTTAAGATTGACAAATTGCTGTCATTAAAATAGACTTATGATCAATTTTTTTTAAAACACGAATGATAACTTTAAGACTTTGTGCTCAACTTATTTCTATTTCATGTGTCGGATTCAAAATCCACCTGCAGGGTTTACACTATGAAACCTTATAAGCTTACTTAAAGTGCATCATCAATCTCTAAACCGAGACATTGATTCTATCATTAATTAATATTTCACAAACACAAAAAGCTTTGCCCAATTCACCGAGAATATTATTCCAATAATGAAACTCATCCTTTAATGAATCAAAGCATAAGACAATCAATGTTTGCTCATATTAAAATAAATCAAGATTAAGAACAATAAACATTATTTCTAATGTCTTAGAGAATATGTTTAACAGTCATTACTAAAGTCAGTACTAAAAACATCCATTCTCTAACTTGTCCCAATTAAATACATATTACTAATCACATTATGTTCTTATGCTAATAATATTTATTTAAATGCAAATTCCAGATTAAATACAAAAGAAATAATTGTCAATAGAAATCATTGATAGCTATACTATTATATATGCAGGTTAATAGTATATCTTATCAGTTGAAACTCTGGGTCAAAAAAAAAAGGGAAAAAAAGGGTGCCTTTAATGGTGATAAGTTAAATGTGCAATAAGAAAAAAATGAGGAAAAAAAAATTTAAAAAAAATATATAATATATATATATAATAAATATATATATATATAATATAATTGAACACCTACAATAGTAGACTGAATAAATTTAAGAAAGTACCATAAAGTGAGAAAGTGAAGGTAAGGCTCAAGGAGGGCTTAAGAGCTTCCATTGTTGAATTTTTTTTGTAATGGTTAGTTAGAAAGCGAATGTATTGGGTATATATGCCTCCAAGAATTGGAAAATTCGAGGACGTGTGCTTTGGTTTAACACTAAATAAGTTTGGTAGTTCATTAGCATTAGCTTTATAGTTGGTTTTTTTTTTTTTTTTTTTTTTTTTTTTTTTTTTTTTTTCAGTGAAGAAACTTGAAGAAGAAGAATGAAAATGGAATGAATGAAAAAAGAATGTGTATCGGAAATTTTTAATGGAATAAAAGTGGAGTATGATTGTCAAATCTCTAAAATTTAAATTTTTAAATTTTTATATATTTTTACATTTGGATCAAGAGTGGTATTTAAACATGGGCCTTTCAACATAAATAATAATTAATTTTATATTCTAATTTAAAAAAAAAAAGTGCATTTATCAAATAATTAACTTTTAAATATTACTTATTATCAATAAAAGAAAGAATTTAAAAATATTAAAAATAATAATAGAGGTTGTCCTTACTATTAACTCAAACTCTCTCATCCACAATCCACATAAATGTATGAAGTTAATCCAAGTTCAAGGTCAAAAGTGAACTTATTTTTTATTTACAATTTAAGTCTTAATTATAATTTAAGGTGCTATTACAACAAAAGGTCAAAATTCAAGATGAAATTGGTATAAAAATAAAATTAGAGTGAAATTGTAATAAAATATTAAAATGAGGTGAAAATTAATATAAAAATCAAATCAGAATGAAATTACAACAAAACGTGAACAATATATTAAGTCATTAAAATATTATCTCCAAAGAAGAGAAGGGCATGAAATATATGGTTGAGTGCATATACCTTTTCTTATTCCAAGCACAATCAAAGTTGTAGGACCACATTAATTAGGTACGGCTGATTGGTGAATGTCACCCGTTAATTTCGGTTTTCATCAATTAAAATTTCCACCTTTAATTAGACTTAGAAAAACAATAAACCTTTCAGCTTGCAATTACATTTTTTTTTCTTTTATTTAACGGTCAATAATCTGAATGTTTTTCGTTCGATTCAAAAGGCAGGGAACTAAGTCATTAAACAATCAAATAATAAATTTATAGGCTAATTGTAGATAAAAATTTTAGAAAATTGAACTTCTCATATAAAAACTCATCATTTTCACAAGAAGCAATTTTCTTCAATCCACAAAGGAAGTAGAAGTAATTAAATATTATGTGTTATTGCAAACTCCAAATGCATGTGTTATTTTGCAAACTCCAAATGCCAATAAAAAGCTTACTAAAAACAAGGATTGAAAAATTTAATTAAAGTGGATTGTATTGGATATAGTACTAAGAATTAAGAAAACATGACTTGAATAGTACTAAGAATTAAGAAAATGACGAAGTCACAGAGAATTTGTCCACTATAAAAAATTATTTTAATATTTTTAATAAATATACTAAAATATTTTTTTTTTCCAAATTTAAGGGAGCCCATTGTGCCCTTGGCCCATCTGGGTCCGTCCTTGGCCACAAATGCCGAAGCAAAGTTAATCTTATAACAAAAAAATAGTGGCTTCACCTACTAGCTGTGATTAAGTTGGCAACCCAGGCCAAATATATAGGAAAAGCTCTCGGATTTGATTATCATTAAATATACCTGCAGGGAAGGGTAAAGAGTTTTAACTGTTACAAAATTTCGAGCTGAATTAGGCGGTCCATAGTAATAAGATCCGAATAGCTTTAACTGTGATTAAATCCTAAGCTGGATTAGATGGTACCGTAATAAGTTTTGAATAACCTTAACTGTGATTAAGTCTAAGCCGGATTAGGTGGTCTTGGTAATAGGGTTCGGATAATGATGGTTTACACTAAAAAAAAATAGTGGCTTCAAAAATCAAACCCCAACTGATATATATATTGACATGATCCTTATTTTAAAATTGCCGGTTTTCAATTTCAAAACCAATTGTAGATTAAAAACATTTTGAATTTTAATTTTATATAATTATAATAAAATAAACTTTTTTTTCTTTGATTTCACAATTCTTTCATTTCTTTATGTTAATGATTTCAAATCGAAACCACTAGCAATAAATCAAACAGTTGGTTCGGGTTTAAAAAAATTAGGAATTAGAACCTATGTTAGGCACACAATCTCAATTCTAGTTTGAAATCAATTGAGCATCATTGATCAAAGTTTAATTCTAATTTTTACTTTTGATTTTGGTTTGATTTGAATTTTTACTTTGTTGATTCTTGGTTTGTCATTTGAATTTTTAAAAATTGAACCATCAGTAAGCTAAATTGAACCATCATAGTATAAGATACACAAAATATTATGTTTTGCACAAAATTGAAACAATCAAAACATTTTCCAACTTTTACACCAAAGGCATAATGTAATGGTAAGTGCATATAGGACCTGCAATAGACCCAAATTCGAATCTCCTCTTCTGTTATTAAAAAAAAAAACATTTCCCAACTTTTCATTTTTTATTGCCTACAAATAAATAGTCCCAAAACAATCATGGGCAAAATGTGATAAGATAATTTGCTCCACCATTACATGTAAAAGTGCTAGTCTTATCGTCATAAGCATAACTATAAGCTTGAGGACATTGTTGCTTGAAAATCAGTGAATATTTCGTCGGTCGGTTTTTTTTATCACATTTCTCTTGGTGTTACCAAACTCTCCGGTAGCAACATATTGGCGGTTGATTAAATGCCTACACATGCACATCTTGCAAAGCAATAACCCCGACCTACTCCATGTTAAACTGCAAGTCCGGTGGACAATCGGCGGATTCAAATTAAACCGGACAACCGCCCAATGGCCAATCAGGTCGGGGGGGGGGGTGGGCCGACAACCTGTGCGCTGCCTACACTCACCGCACCAACCACCGCCTTGTGGGGTCACCGAAATGGGCAAAGTTTAAGCCATCAACAAAGACTAACATCATGCCTTGTGGGGTCACCGAAATGGGCAAGTTAAAGCCATCAACAAGACTAACATCATAAAAATCCCTTCCATTGTTTGGTGCTATAGAGAACTCTACAAGAGAGGTAGGTGGACTTCCGGCAACACCGTTACATTGGACTTGGCCGGTGCCACAGTTTGCCGTGGCACAGTTGAACTTGCCGGAAGCGTCTGTAGTGCAACCGGTACGAGCCCAGAACCGGCCGCTCCATGGTGGCAAGGCAGTTAGGGTTAATGATGCTTTGGAGCCTAATTCGAAGCCAGTCGAAGACAATTGAGGGCCACTGCCTGCCAAGTTTGCCGGCCATATAGTGTAAGGGCAATTGTTTGTGATGGTGAATGTTGTTGCTTGAGAACCTGCATGCAAAATTAGAGCTATTAATTTCTTGCAAAATCATTAGTTTTTAAATGGATCTCGTAAATCATCATTGTCTTCTAAAAGAAAAATCACAATCACTCGCTTCCTTTTAAATAAACATTGATGTTATATAATAAACTATTTGTCTATTGCGGATCCATATAACAAACCAATCAAAAATAACTCTTTGGTTGAAATAATGGTATTTCTGACTATTAACGAAAAAAAAACAAAAGAAAAAAAATTTATGGATTGAGTTGGTATATGGATCAAGCGTAGACAATATATATATATATATATTATATATATATATAATTATTTTGTAATAATACTAGCTTATATACTACTTTATATATATATATATATTATTATATATTATATACATATATATAATTATTTACCATTAAATATGTTAGATTAAGAGCAAAAATATTTAAATCATTGCTTGAAAAAAGTAGATTATAAAGAAAGAAAAAACAAGAAAACCAAACCTATATGATTTTTTTTTTTTTTTAAGAAATAACAAGGAGGTTATTTACTAGAGAAGAAGAGGACGATAAAGGGAATGCCAAATATTGCTTCAATCGCCATTCTTGAGACTTCTTTGGTTATTCCTTTTTTAAGATAATTTTTTTGGGTCGAGATTCGTTTTATGTTGGACGAAACCCCCATATATAGGTAGGGCAATGCAAATCCCTACTTATATATAGAGTTGCAAAAGGCAATTAGTTTAGCAAATCCATATAAGCATGACCTCTATATAATTTCCATTAGATTGTGTCTTAATCTAGTAAAAAAAAGGTAAACTTATGGTTTCAAAATTCAAATCTTCCTCCATCAAAACTTGAAAAAAAAAAAAATACCTAATTTGAATTAGCAATCAATAGATGCATTCTATAATGGTTAGTTTTCTAATTCTAAGTTGGTTAGTTTCCTAATTTGGTTTGCTATTTTGGTAAGCATTTATTTTAATAAGTTGGTTAGTCCAGAGTCTAAGTTCTCTTGCTATTTTGATAAGTACTATTATATCTAATAAGATATGGTTAGTCACGAGTTGCATCTCTGTGGTTGTGACATGATTGCTTTGGAGTATATCTCCTTGTTATGGTAAGTAAATCTCAAATTAAATTTTTTCCATTACCTAAGTGATTATGTAATTCCTATTTTCAATACCAAAACAATTAAAAAATATTCAACATTCTTTCAATCTTAAGTAAAGCAGATGATCGCGCTAGAAAATATTTTATGAAATCCCCAGTGCTATCCTTAGCGTAAATAGCACACCTTACCAATGACAATTCCAAAACATGACAATTTCTTTACTCAAAAGTTAAAAGAATCTAGTCATTCATATCTTTCGTACTTTGTTCCAAAGTTAAAAGAATAATATATTCTTTTATTGTTCCATTTATCAGCCTGTTAGCCCAACCATCACATGGCTCAACTTTTTGATCTAATACTTTAAGAGTTCAGCTTAGACTAAGATTATATTCGTCAATAACTTTTTAAGTAATTTTTAGTGTTTTAACCAATCAAAACGGTAAAGGCTATTTTTTATATTAATTCATGTAAGGCTTAGCTTTTATCGGTTTATGAAAAGCTACTGAAACAGCAAACAACTAAATGCACGTTTTATGAAAAGCTACTGAAACAACTAACAACTAAACGCTCCTAGAACAACTAACAGTGACCAAAACATCTAATTTTGCCAAACAGACCCTAATACAATAAGGCTCGGGACACGTAGGCTCAAGTCAGGAATTGATTTGATTCTCATATGATTCTAAATATGCTCTTAAGTGAATTTCTATAAAGGCTCTCTGAGTCTCCTTTGTTCATTTTAAATTTTCTTATAGAAAGGCTCCTCTGATGTCTGCCTTGTGTTGCTCATTTTAAAATAGATATTTTTTGTTTTGGAAAGCTTATTAGGATAGAATCCCAGTAAAATATAATTGGAGGATGTTGTGCGTTGCACCTCCATGCGAAAAGGAACCATCGAAACGTCCTGGAAACTCCTGATATCATTGTTTGACAGAATGTGATTTGGCTCACAATGTGCAGAATTCTTTTCTTGGTGGAATATCTCAATATCGCTTCTAAGTCCTTCGACAATCTATGTTGGTAATGGGAAAGCATGGTCACTGTAAGGAGTAAAAAAAGCAGTTTGGATGGGTGTCCTCTCACCTCCCGTTTAAAGATTAGATATGAGATCAATCTTTTTTGGTCTAGACAGCAATTATATTGTCCTTGTTAAATAATCTTTGATATAGCCCAGATCTATTGTTCCACATGTTAAATAATCTTTAATATAGCCCAGATCTATTGTTCATAGAATTTGTTTGGCAAGAATATACAATAATCGGAAGCATACCTTGATCCATAACGGCAGATCTATGTTATGGGTTACCTCATTGGGGCAATTCGATTGTCACTGTAATAGCAGATCTACGTTTCTTTACTCTGGCCTTTTGTCCGTAAGTGCTCTCTTAATGGTCAGAGAATAATAAACAGCTGCGAGAGTTTCTTTTATGAGCTCTCTCAAACAAACTATCTCCGTATGTGTTTGAGGGAGCCGTCACACTCTCTTGTTTCTGTGTTAAGTATAGTGTTTTGAAGAGAGCCAGTCACAACTACTTTATGTTTTCTGATGTTTACGAACGACGCTGATGATTTGACTGTTATTCTTTTTTGTCTTTTATAAGGCACAGAGGGTTATTTATTAACCTTCTACTGACTCTTTTATCCCATTTTTATTAAGTTTTCCAATAACCATTCATTCTTTGAGGTTCCTATATCTCTAATTAGAACCAAGCCCTATTTAATCACATGGGCCCCACATATAGATTTATTAAATATATAATCATAACAATATCCCACTTGGCTTCATGTGCATTTTCTTTGAGTTCTATTCATGTTTATCTTCTATAATTTTTTGTAATTAAGATGATCGGTTTAATTATTGGCGGGTCAACAAGTCATTTTTGAACGATTCATGATTCCTTCTCATTATATCTCATTTGACCAACTTTCAATTCATAAAATACTTAATTAGAGAAACTATTCAACAAACAATAACATTGATTATCAATCAACCTGTTATTGTTTATCTAAGTTTGGTCACTCAGAAGCCATGGTATGGTGGTATACATCTATAATGGTGGATAAACACATAAATAATTGCAAAAACACATCTTTAATGTTGAAATTTTTCAAATGTCACTAATAATTTTATGAGCAATGACCATATGTAAATATATATAACAGTCCCTGTAACATCAATGCTAACAAGGAACATTATCTATAATGCCCCATTCATATTCAACATGGCCAGTGAAGGATTTTTGGTGCGTTTGTAGCCCTTTAGTTAGCGGATCCGCTACTCCCCTCCCACATCATCATTGATCCAATACCCCGTATATGCTCAATTGACATTTTGTGTTTTTGCACTTCTTCTTTACACAGATAGTACTGTGTTAAATACCATGTGCTTTGGCACCCTTAGAGTACCTATCATTCTTACGAGAAGAAGACAGCTGCGGAATTATCACAGTAAATTCCTCATATGGTCCCTCTATGTCTATACTGGTTTCGATAATGCCTAGACTTGAGACAATAGTTCCGCAAGTCACCAATGCATGAACAGTGGTTCTCAAGCATGTTCCACAAATTCCAGCCCTCCATAGTGGAGAGTAAATGTACATTCGACTCTTCCATTTTCCATGATACTGCTCCTTCCAGACTAAGAAGAAACAGTAGGCCGGAAATGTAGAGCTTGTCGTCGGGGAAGTCTACGAACGGAAACGCGGCGATGAGTTCGTGATATGCCGTTTAGTAGTGGTTGGCCAGCCGAGCTTTAGTCTAGGGATGGCTGGAGCCTTGTCTATAAAGTGAGTATAATGATCCTTAGTGCCTTGTTTAAATACTTAAGTACCTTTCTTTGCAGTTTCTTTACCAATTGGTCCCATCCCGGGATTACTTCTTGATAATCTGCCCTATACATTTCCTACGTGCGAAACTATATCCGGTCGAGTACAATGTGTCCTGAACATACATTAAAGCTCCCAACCACTGACGGCATATGGAATAGACTCCATCTCTTTAGTTCCAAAGTCATTTTTAAGGATTTGCATTTTTACGCTGAAACCTATCTCCTTTCTGAATTGGAACTATTCCTGACGGAAGCATTATTTCATTCTAAAATCTGCTCCCTCATTATACTTACTTATCAATAATTAAGATCTTTGAGACAATCCTCCACAGTCCTTGTGATGCTATCAATGGAAATATTTTCTATTCCAATCAAACAAAAGGATGCCTCTACCATATATCTTTCATTTCAAAGTTCTTAGAGAGAAAAACCCTTCTAACTTTAGTCATGCAACACCCAACATCATTATCGCAGCAAAAGAATGTCATCAACATATAGGACTAACATAATGAGCTGCTCCCACTGATTCTTCTATAAATATTCCACCGATCACACACATTTGTTTTTCTATAAATAATCCATATGAAGTGATGGTATTATTTAATAACTTAAGATACCATTGACTTGGAAAGCCCTTGCTTGTTCAAGTCCATATATTGACTTCTTTAACTTACACACCAAGTTTTGCCTTTTCCTGTTGACCACCAAACCCTCTGGTTTGATCACATTATATTACTTTCACTCGCTTCTAAAAAGTCACCATTAAGAAAGGCTTGTTCCTTTACAATCCATTTGGTTGTGAAGCCTTCTAGAAATTCATAATGAGTCCACAAGAATAAAATAATTCTTGTAAAGAGTCTTTTATTTGGAAACTAGGAGAACAATGTCTTTCTTTGATAATCAATATGCCCATCACTTCTGAGATGTAATCTTTTTTTAAGTCCAACAATGTCATAGCCTTATAATCATTATCTAGTGTTGCCCTGTAGAAGGTCCGCGTTTGGTGGCTTAAAAACCATTATACAACCAACATTGTTTTTTGACCCCTCTTTAGAGACAACTTCCGACTAAAATCCTTCAGACTTGATTAGTCACTCCTTGATTATGCATTTCTTCCTTCATGGCATTAAAACCACTTTTCAGAATTATCACAATTCCATTGGCTTTAATGGAAAGAGAACTAGATCCTTATCAATGCTCTAATTCACATTCATAGCTCAAGTGAGTTAAACTCACAGTAATCACTAGAAAATTAGCTATCGACCTTCTTTTTGGCCCTTTGTGAACCTTCCGTAATGCTATTTTCTTGTGGAAACCACTTGATCATTCTATTGTCGTTTGAATTGTTTCACATTTTTGCTGGTTCAATCATTTTATAATGGTCATTTTGTAGGGTTTCGGAATGTATGTTTTTGTTGTTCAATAGAAAGGGCCATGTTAAATGTTAAACTTGTGATACAACAAGTGGAGAAGCAACAACCCGAGAAGAGGACATTACGGAAATTCCATCTGAATTTTTTGGATTTTTGCATCCTGAATCTCTTTTGCAACATTCACCTTAACGTGGTTCACTACTTTTTCCCACTAATTTAGGGACCCAATTTTTCAATAAATCTTTTGAGCATTACCAGACTCAACAATTCTCCTTGTACATATGGTTAGGACAATTTACAATCATAGTACCCTTTTATTGACTTTTCAGTGATATCCCTATGAAAAATCCACTAACCGTATCTAAGCTCAAGCTTCCTTTTCAATG